TGTAAACAAACACATTAATTTATAAAAAGATCACAGAATAAACACATACTTTTGTATACGTACATACTCTTCTATGCATAATATACTACTCATCCATGATCCGATGTGCTTCTTTTGTAAATCATATTCTGTGTAGTTTTGATTCAATAGTTTCTAAAGTTATGTTATGATATGTGACACATCCAAATTTGCATTTTCATGGAGTTGACATTGACTTCGAAAAGGAACACTCAAATCTATTTTCTAAAGAGATTTAAGAAAATTATTTTACAACAATTTGGAAATGTGTGAAGTGTGGGTTTAAAGTGTCCCCTTGTAAAGATGTCACATTTGACAAGTAGAGCAAGGGTTATAACCCTTAATTCCCTTAATAGATAACCTATTGTTTGTTTCATATATTTACTCAGGATGTTTGTCTTCACTGGGAGGTCATTCCCTTAATCAGATTTGCTAGGGTCATACTAAATGATATTTCTTAATTTCGTCATTGTAGACATAGATTTACATTGAAATTTTAGGCAAGGGTTTGGATAAACTTCCTTCATCAGGAAAGTTGGTTTTGAGATTGAGGTTAAAATATGGATGTTTGAGCAATGTCCAGCTTGTAGACAGGATCATTGAGTATTGAAGTTTGATCTTCTCTATATTGACCATACAGATAGCTGAGATTCAGCTCATATTTGGTAAAGTAGACATAAGCTTACAGATAGCTGAAATTGAGCTCTATATCAACTAGTCATGTACAGTAAATATTTATATCATAGTAATTGAGTTCTATCAGCAAATGGTGCAAATATTTAGATCACAGCATGGGTAGCTGCAGTTTAGCTGGTAAAAAAAATATTCTCAAGTTTTGAATATTCTTTCTGAATAAATCAACCAACTGTACATGAGAAAAGATACTAGATTTTGATTACAAGACTAGAGTGTTAATATTGAGTTTGACTGATAAACTATCTCCCTGGTGTGAAGTGAAATATATCATTAAATATGTATCCTGATACAAAACTTGGATAAAACTGTTAAATTAAAACTCAAATTGGCCTGTATAAAATTGACATATTATACAAACTAAGATAGTTATTGAAACCTGTGTAAGTTAGTCTTGTTTTTCAGTGAAATGAATTTTAATTTTACATCCTTTAAATTAAAAAGAATATAGTTTATGAAAAACCAATGATGAAATGAATCACTTCAGAAAAGGGGTTAAGGGAAAGAAAACTGGACATTTTTAGAGAAGTCTTTTAGTTTTGCACTGTAACAGTGTGACTTGAAACAAATCAAATAGTCTAGTTTGATGCTCCATATTTTTTCGATTATTTGTAGCGAGAATAAATCCTACACCATTTTTCAGGAAAGAGGAATAAAAGATGTGTGTATATTTTGACAAGTTAGTGTTGACATTTCCACATTAACCTTTATGTATTCACTGGTAACAGACTGGCTAGAAACTTGATGATGAAAGTTTATTTTCTTTTATTACCCCAAGATCTTCATGAATTTTAGATTTTATCAAAATATTTGATTATGTATGGTATAGCTGGTCCGGTCCAGTTGTTCTGGATTCAAGTAAGTAAGTAGATAGGTCAGACATGAAATGAGAATGGTTTAAGTAGAAGCATTAAGTGTCTCAGATATACATACAAAGTCTGGAAATTCAGAATAGCGCCAATAAAAGTTAAAGTGTCCCTGAAACTCATACAAAAGCTAAAAAATCAGAATAGGGAAAATAGAAGTAGGCTATCTCTGATGCATAGAAAAGGGTGGAAAAATTCCTGAAATCTATAAAGTTAAATGAAAATTCCGATTTTACGTCACTTTCTAATTGTGTCATGATAGAGGTCTAATAACTACAGCAATGCTATGCAGTGTGCAATGAGAAATAATAAGGATTTTATGACCCTAGAATAAAAATACAGGCCAAGGCAAAGCTAAAATACTACAGTAGTGAAAAACTCAGGTAGAATTTGATGTTATCTATAGTTAAGTAGGAAGGAGGGCTGAACTATCTCAACTTTGAGGATTATATTTCTCTATGTTACCATGGCAACTGTAGTTTTCACCAGCAGGTGTAAACATTAATGGACATTTTTCATATACTTTACTGTGGTGTACCTTGTAGCTCTTCATTCTTCCTGATTTATTGATAACTACTGTTCTAGACCCTATTAGTTTCCCAACCTAACTTATTTTGTTTGGTTTGGAAATAGGGACTGTGTTCCACTGTGCCAAGAAATTTATTTAGAATAAATTCTTATGAAAAAAAATGTGTTATCTTGTTATATAAAAACAATAAGCTATAGATTAGAAAAACAATATAGTAAGTCCTAAAATACAAGGAAAAAGATTTGAATACTTGAAAAAAAACACAAATTTTTGTCTCAAGTAATATTATTTTGGTGACATTCAAGAAAATTTGGTGAACACATAAAAGAATGATTTTACAGTACTATTTGAAATAAGGCGTTGAAACAGTAAGAAATATGCCACACCAATCAAAATATAAAAATGTCTTCATATTTCAATTTCTGGGTTCTATTTCATGTGACCTCCTATGAGTAATGTAATTTCCTGCGCTGTGAAAGTTTTACACTGGTAATATACAGTTTCAAACAACATTATTATTATCACACACACATTTTAATGAAGTTTTCACCTCATGGGACAGAAATTGAATTTCTTTTTGCAGTCATTATGTAATAGTTCTGTCTGTTTCTTTATATCTTTCAGATTGCCTTAATTTTTCTATTTGTACCGGTACCCTGTTAGTAAAATGAGTGTAATGAAATGAAGTTTTACATCTGAGTTTACATCTACATCTTAATAGAGCTTTATATGATGTGTATTTATCATACTTTCCCTGATATTAAGTAACATTATTTCTGTTGATTACAGCTATTTTTACTTAATTGTAGAAGGTCATAATTGCTTTTGGAAAAGTGACGGGGAACATTTTTTTAACATCTATTTTAAAAGAATAATTTCTTTTAATATTTTTCTAAAATTTTAAAAGATTATTTTACAGTAAACCACGAGTAATTTGCATTCGATTAATTTTCAACAGTAATTTATTTAATTTCCTTAACGAGTTTGAAAGTAGTCGTCAAGTACTTACTATATATAGTAACAAAGGGAAGGATATAGATATTGTTTAACGGAATTCATAATTAACCAATTGTTAGGGGTGGTTGCTATCAATTGACTTATATTATGACTTTTATTATATGCCCACATGAAAATGTGGTCGTATATTGTCGTAACACCTGTCCGTCGGTCCGTCAGTCCATCGGTCCGTCCGTCAACATTTCTTGTGAGCACTAAAGAGACTACAGTTTTTATCTGATTTTGATGAAACTTGGTGTGATGCTTTAGATTGATAAGATCTCGGTCAAGTTCGAATTTGACATATTTTCGAAGAATGGTTTTTGAGATATTGCCATTGACTTAGAACGCCTTGAAATTTGTTAAAAATAGTTCGTGAGCAGGATTGAAGCTACAGTTTTCAACCGATTCTGATGAAACTTGGTGTGATCATTGGAATTGATAAGATCTCGGACAAGTTCTAACTTGAAGCATTTTCGATGAACGGTTTTTGAGTTATTGCCCTTGACTTTGTTAAAACGCGCCGAAATTTGTTAAAAATAGTTCGTGAGCAGGATTGAAGCTACAGTTTTCAACCGATTCTGATGAAACTTGGTGTGATCATTGGAATTGATAAGATCTCGGACAAGTTCTAACGAGAGATATTTTTGATGAACATTTTTTGAGTTATTGCCCTTGACTTTGTAAACACGCGTCAAAAGTTGTTTTTTACCCTTGATTAGAGCTGTGTGATTTAATTGTTTGTTGTATTTGGGTTATTGATATTGATTTTAAAAAAATTTGTGGAATTATTCAGCATGAATAATGTCTTCAATATGAGAAAATTCGTACTTTAGTCCCTAAAGACTGTTTTATTATTTCTGACAGCTGCCAGTGGGCGTATGTTACCTTGCAACACAAGCTATCTTAACATTCTTTCTGCATTTCTTGTGCTTCATTCATTCATTTCCGTTTTCATTACCCCACATGGTGCAGAAAACTCAATTTATTTCATTTATTCATTCATTCAACAAGGCTTTTTTATTGGCAATATTTCCATATTCCTTGTTATTCATTCATTTGAATATACACACATACTTTCATTCATTCATTAAGGCCATTTTATTTGCAATTCATTCTTTTAGTCATAAATGCTAATTTTTTCACACATTTATTCATTTTTCTTCTGTCACTTATGTTCCATTTACATTCTTTCCATATTTCTTGTTATACATTCATTTATTCATCTAGTCTTAACATTGATATATAAAAATATTCCTATATTCTTTGTGATAATTGTTGTCAACTAAACTATGTGTACTCTTGTTTGTTTAATTGAGGGCTCAGTATATAAGTAATGGGTCAGACCCTACAATAAGGCATGTCAATTATTGTATTGACTTTGTCAAATACCCATAACAGGTCAATCATTTATTTATAACCTTACAGGATACTTCATTCTTAAATTTATAGACTCTTTCACAAGTTCTGAATTATTTGAGGAATGGATTTAGAATTATTGGTTTTTACTCGTCTCAAAAATGGACTGAATTGTATGGACTTTTGGACAAATTTTGAAATTTTGATGAATAAATAAGTTAATACCCTTGATTAACAAAAATGTGTCAATTTTAAACTGTGACTGATAAAAGCCAGGGTGTTAGTTTTTTTCTCAGATTTGAGATAGTGGCATCATTATCTGGTTAATTTTTCTGGACTTACAGGAACTACAAACATAGACAGAGCCAGGTAATTCTGAATGAAAACCTTTTCATGATGAAATATTCATCTGTGTGGGTGTTATTGGTGTCTCTACTTTCCTTTTTGAATCACAATGTAAATTCTTATTTTTTTGTCTAATTTCAGATTGAAAGTAATGGTGGATTTCTAGTGGAAAGTTAAATTTAAAAATCATCACCATGGCATCATTTCATTGTATTTTATCTGTTCTATTTATTATAACTTTGGTTACCATAGAAACTCAGGCCAGGAGAAAAAGTAGGTGGCAATGTTTTGTGTTCATTTTGATTCAGATTGTTCTTGAAAACTCTTGGGACATGTTTCTGGATTCTATTTTGAAAAGAGTGGGCTTCAAAAAGAAATATTTATCTTTCAATGAATTGGATAAAACATGCTTTTTCAACATTAAATTCACAAGTGAAATGAGGAGTGTGTGATAGATAGGGAGAAAGTATGGTGGAGTATAGGTGCTCTATCTTCTAAAATAAATGTATTTATGGGCATTGGATGAAAATTTTTGAACAAAGTAAAAATGATTCAAATTTTCATACAGATATACCTAATATCCCCTTCTCCTTCCCTTCAATTGAGCATTAGACGTCTGTACTTCTTTAAACAAATCCATAGCACTTAAGATCATGATCTTGACAATCGAAACCTTTACTATATTCCAAACCATTTTAAGATAATTTACCATTCATTTCTAGAACATGAAGCCCCCAAATGGAAATCTACATCTATGCCTAATTTACAAGAGAAAATGGTGACTGCTGTGGAAGGAGAGAAGCTGATGTTAGATTGTTCAGCAAAGGGAAAACCCCGACCTAAAGCTAAATGGTATATAAATGGTGAAGAAATATCAGCTGATGTACATACTGATATAAAGGTATGATGATTTTATAGCTAGAAAATGCAGTGTAATACTTTGTGTGTGAATAGTTTTAAGATAGTTTCACTTCAGATTTTGAATCTAAACTACAAACTACGAGTTGTACCTTCGGAATAACCCCCCTGCATGTTCTTTTCGGCCGTGGAGTCACATGTTGTCCTGCCACAATTCTTGCTTCTTCTCTCACTCTGAATGTCACAGTATCAAGGAGGTGTAATACATCAATGAGCAAACCACAATTGTTACAAACCTTGAATATATATAGATTGTTTCAAGAATATTTAATGATCTAAAGTATGAGAAATTTACATGTTAAAATTTAACTTGTCATATTTAGAAGGAAACTTTTCTGTGAAATGGAAAACAGGTCTTTGACAATTAAATAGAAACCATTATTGACTGTTGATGATGGACTGTATATGATTTATGAGAGTAGAATATGTAAATTCTAGGGATTATGGGTATGGTAATCAAGTAACGAAGCTTGATAATGTGGTAATTACACAAAGTTTGGATTATAGCAGACTTTACCTCGAGATATAAACATCACATTACATTCTTCAATATCTGGCCATAATCCATTTCATTATAAAAACACAAATAAACTAAATAGGATTTTTTGTCATATTTATCTGCTTAGTTTGGGACTAACAAAAACAGACAACAAATACAGTATGTGTTAGGAAAGTTTTTCCCTGACAATGGAATTTATTTTCAATTTCCAGCCTTTAAAAGATCTTACCTTGCAGTAAGCTCCATTTTTATTTTGACAACTCAGTAGCAAGACGCTTGCACATCTTTCAAAGCATTATTCGGATTTTGTTTGTTTCTGTTCTGTTTTAAAGCCATTACTTTGTCAGTATAAATGGGTTTTGTTTCTGCATTAGTAAGACTGATATAACAATTTAAATAACCTTGGAGTCCTTGAGTTGTTTGTGATAATAAAAGATGTAAAATCAATGTGATTCTTTCAAAATAAAAGAATGGTAAATACCATGGGGTATATATTGAATGGTAGAATGTAAAATGTTATGTTGTTATTTTAAAATAGAAATCTATTCCTAGTGTTATACATCTATTAAACATGATTCCTGATCTAATGGTATGCTAACGGTTAAAGTTGGCATCCCTCAAATCATTCCACACATTGAGTAATTAGCTACATAGTCAATATATTTCCATTTCCAAATATAGAAGGATTAATAGTGAATATCTGTAGGACAGTGTTTCCCAGAGTTAGTTTTAGTTTCAATCCCATTTACCTAAATATAAATTCATATTTTGGTTTTGAAAAGTTCCTGGAGGTATTAGAATATCTTTTCATGACTACTGTTCTCTGATAGAAATAGGGAAAAAGGAAAGTGGTGTTTGATTATAACAGAAACAGGGGTCTTCATCAGTACTAGGAAAGCTTATTGATTGAATTAGAACAGTCAATGTTTTCATGAATACAACCTTAATGGAATCGTATCTTCAATACTGAATTAAGAATTGATTTCAGGCAATTCAAAGTCAATTTCTAGCACTCAAGGACTATTCCCAACACTGGAAGAAAGTTCCCGGCAGTCAAAGACGTTTTCCAAGACATTATTGACTTTCACTCCAATTTAATTCTTTACACTGACAGCTATGATATAAAATAACTGGGGCGGAAAAATTTGTTACATTGGAGACAGATGGAAGAAATAAAACAGATCAATATTGTCAAGTGGCTGGGAGAAAATGGTTAAATCAAGGCTCTCGAAATGACTGGCTATGGACTTTAAAATATATTTATGATTGGGACTGAACTAATTTCCTGACAGACTATTTACCACTAGCTGAGGTCTAAAATTCTGGTTTAGGTCTGTAGTACTAAATGTAGATGGAGATTTGAACTCTAAGCACCTTATTGTTCAGCAGATATCAATGCAACATGCTACTGACCTAGGTATTCTGAATTAAAAAATCAGTAGTATTTTATCACTGATGTAATACAAAGGTGACATCAAGCCATGTGCAATGAGGGAAATTCCAGGATTGCTGGATATTACCACATGTGATTCAGAACTAAAGAAATCCTAAACATTATTCATTATTTATCACTACTAATTGTCACAAATTACTATAATTTTTTATTCATGAGGCTATAAGCCATTGTTCATAGTTAAAGATACAATGCAACCTTGTGTGAATTTATGTCATGAAAAAGGCCACAATGTTACTGATCTCTCATTACATAATTATATATTATGTGGTCTCACTGTCCTGGCCTTATTTCCCTCATTGACACTGTACTGCTATTTTTCATTCTTCCAATAAGCCTACTTGACAGCAAAGTAGGTTGTAAACCTCATTCACCAGTCAGATCTGGTGACAATTCTAAAAAAAAGTCCCTTGTATTACAGTCTCTCCAGGTTAGCTAAAAGTAAGATGTATATTTATTTCTTTTAATATATTTTAGCTTAAGAAACATATATTAACAATTGAGAAATTAAATCCAGAAGATGGTGGAAACTATACTTGTGTTATTCATAATAAACTTGATAGACTTGACTGGAGTTTTGATGTTAAAGTTATACGTAAGTCACCATTTCATTTCTGATTTAACTGCTCTTCAAAATGTCGGAAGTCTTCAAAAATCATGAGACACCAATGTAGCTTTTTATTGCAGATATTTATGAATAGGCATGGATAAGAATTTGGATGGTTAGCTGTAAACATTGACCTTAGCTAAACAATTTCCATTTCTGAGTACTATTTTCTAGTATGGTTAGTATATCAGATGGAGAACAAGCAAGTTCTGCAATTTCCGACTCTGAGTCTCAGGTCCTTTGTATTAAATCTGTAAAAAGTGAAAATGACTACATTGCTGAATATATCATGTCTTGGAATATAAACCTTAACAGCACTAGGTCTATCAGTGAGATCATTTGTACAAAAATGAATGAATGTAATTTTAATGGGTTATGTTAATTAAGTATTGTTTTAGTTGAAATTAATAAATGTGTAATATTTTGTTTATATATATTTACAGGCAAAATTTGGCCTCTCGAGATTGAAGCTCCACCAAATATAACAGCCAATGTTGGAGATACAGTTACTTTTACCTGCCGTGTTAAAAATGATCCTAACGCTACCATTAGATGGTTAAAACGTCACGAATCTCCAACCGAGGATATCAATTCCTATGAAAAAACTGAGGTAAAATAAATGTCATGCTTTGATTAGTTCAAACTTTAGGGATATTGTCATATTTTAAGCTGCTTTAGAGATAAGTCACTTTAAAAATGTTGTATGGCTTGCATTTTCAATGTAATTTCATGAAATTTAGTGGTTGTGGCCGTACCAAGCTGACTCTTTGAAGCACTGGCTGTGGCATGATAATTTTCTACTCTTGTGGAGGATTCGAAACCTTGGTACGTATTCACCAAGCAGACTAAAATCCAACTCGCTACCGACTGAGCTAATCCACAGAAGCCTTTCATTAAATTATGAAATGAATTAGAAAATAATGTTTGTATTTCATCAATATTTAATGTATTAGTTCTAGGTAAAAGTTTTTGTACAAGAATGAATGAAAAGGATCTATCCTTTAAATTGTCTGTTTCAGTTCATCGATAGTGGACCTAACCCAGAATATTTGATTATTTCTGACATCACAGAGAAAGATAATGGGGAATACAGATGTTTAGCAGGAAATAAATGGGGTGTCACATATAAAATAGGGTATTTAAAGGTTCTTCGACCAACTACCACACCCATGCCAACTACTACCACTACCACAGTTGCCACGACAACCACCACATTACCTCCAACAACAACCACCACTACAACTACCATGGCAACCACAGAATTCCAAACATTCTTTCCACCCTTCAAACGTCAAAGACCAGACAAAAAAAATGACATGGACAATGTTACTTTCTTTCCTCCTGACAGCAAGAAAAATGGACGAAAAAAGAAGAAAAACAAGAATAAAAAGAGAAAAAATAAGAATCGTAAAAATCAAACAACAACCGTATCTCCATTTGTTTATATGGAAAAGACCACAATGATGTATCCCATGTTTCCTGATCAACCGAAATACGATGGTGAATTCGAACGAGAGCGCCAAGACGTGTATGAAATAGAACCACGCAAATCTACAGTAAATTATGACTTTGTACCAGAAAATGGCGAAGAGGATTTTGATGTAAGTCAAGTTGATAATCAGCAGCGTGATGGAGAATCCAGTTCTAGTGATACCATTAGTTTATGGACTATATACACTATCGTAGGATCTATAGCTGGAGTTATATTATTGTTAGGGCTAGTGGCTATCACTGTAGCATTATGTTGTCGTCGAGAAGGTACTGGAGTGTATAAATCAACCCCTGTGTAAATATGACCAAGCATGGAAAACATATATTGATGCGTGTAAGGTAAAATTACAGAAATCTGCTGGGAAAATTTTGAATTTTTGTTTTTGGAAAGGTTTTTTTTTAAACTGTTAATTAACAAATTTGGATGCAATAATTTCTGCTGTTCTTAAAGATGGAGCCAGTTTTATTTAAGAAAGGGGAAAAAAGACCCCATCTCTTCTGTGAAAAGTGAATATGACCATGTCCCTTTTGGGCCAGCCTAATAAATTGTGCCTCTAAGAATTTTCATAATCTCCAATGCGAGAGTAAATCCATGGGAGGTAACTCCATTATTATGTGGCAATGTTTCAGACTAATCGAAATTGCAGAATTTTGCGGAATTGATGTCTGCGATGGGAGGTAACTCCTTCAATAATGTTTTAAAATGTGCCAAGAAAAATGAATAGTTGTGATGAACATTAAAATGACATCAGAACATATTTTTTTGTGGAATGTGAAAAGAAATTTGAAACCAGATTGATATATATGGTGTGAAATGAAGCTTTTTTGAAGTTTCACAACACATAGATCTACATGTGTATACATGCTGCTTTTCAGATTTACAAATTGAATGATCGTCTGTTACAATATTTAGTGCAGTGATAGCAAGTTTGCTGGCTGATAAGGTAGCGTAGATCTGAAAGTTGTTTTCATTCAGGAATGAGAATTGTGACTCTTCTGCTTTTTCTTGAGAGAGGGGGTTTTATGTTGGATGTTCGGCCTGCAAACATTACCACCAAACTTTAATAATTTCTCTGAATCTTAAAGAAGGGAAGTTATATGTTAGGGCTTGAAGAAAGAACATTATTATTAATAGTTTTTGTATTTATATCTAATAGAAGTGTGTATCGAAAATACTCAAGATTTTTTTCACCTCAAATTTTTCCTCTTTGTACAGTTTTACAATTGTTTGTTTTTATGAGGTTTAGAAAACTCAGCTTGAATCCAACCTATAATATCAAATCAAACTGAAACCAGTAAAGGATTGATTAGTTTTCATTGGTCATGGATGGCTGTGTTCGAAACTGCTCGTGTCACAAGGTTTAGAGCTCACTATTTTTTAGATCATATTTTGTGCAGACAATATGTAGACTGTAGATCATGTCTGCTCAGATATTTAAGTTCATGAAAACTTTTGATTTAATTATTATAGTTCTTCTCTTGAAATGAAATATATTTCCATACTTTTTCAGTTTGTTATCATAGCCAAGTTGGGCCCTTTTCTCCAAACCTTTTATGTCAATTTTGTTCCGTATGAACGTTCTTGTAAAATATGTAATGCGACAAATTTACAAGAAAGAGTTCAGTTATTGCAGATAGAACATAGATTTATGAAGAATTACATTACATTAATTACATTGTGTAATTTACGTTTTATCATTTAGTGTTTTAGATATCTTTATTCAAGATTTGCATAATCTATCACTGAATGTACTTTTGTTTATTAAGTTAAATTGTTTTTTTTAAATACTTTTTAAGAAGTAAAAGTCTATGAGAAGGAAGTACTTGTATATTTGAAATTTTGAATTGAAAATTAATATCGGATGACAAATGTTTGTTGTTTTTTCATAATTGACATTCAACAATTACTTTGAAAAATCTTTTGTTTATGAGTGCGATTGTGCAAAAGGATTGCATTTAATACTTGTAACATAATTCTTTTTTGTGCAATTGTAACATAGATACAATAGTTTAAATATGTTTTACCACTTTATTAAAGCTCAACTATCTATATCACTTAACAGAATTAAAATTCAATATTCAATTCATCTACAATTTAATAAAAACAATATATTTTAGTATATGCACATTAAAATATGAAAGACAGTTTGTTTTGAAATGACAAGTTGGACAGGATTGGGATTTACTCAAGTATAGATATTTAAGCTCTTCTGGGTCTGAGTTAATCTATAAACACAATCATTCCACTGTAGTTTATTGTTGTTTAAAGAGTAAAGGACCCAATATAAACCTGGTTTATATAGTTTTAATTACTATTTATTCTATCCAATAATAAAATGATTTGAATGCTAGTTATATCATTATGTTTTGATTTGTACCTGGATGAGCTGAAATATTTTTACATAACTATATAATATTCTTTACATAATGATTGTTTATTTGTTGTCAAATTATTTTTGTTTATAGTAAACTGACTGTTTTTTCAAGGTACATGTTTTATTATTATTTTTTCCAACCTTCATGTACTTATAAAATCAGACGGCCCCTTTAAACCTACCAAAAGATCAAAATATTTATGTACCGTCCTGCATTTAATTTTTATTTCTAAAGTTCACTCACAACATACCTATAGTCAATTTTTATTTTATATTTTACTTTCTTTGTATTTTTTTTGTAGTTATGTATTTTTAAAATTTTGTAATATAATCCCATTGTGAAATCATTTTGCTTAAAATTTAAATGACACTGTTTATTCTACCCTACAGTTAGTTTTAGATATTAAGGTTTATATCAAATAAATGCACAGATTAAAAAATCAATGCAACTGTAGTAACTTAAAGAATAAACCGGGAAATATCTAGTGCTGTATTGTAATTAGATTAATCAAGGTTACCCTCAGAATATAAATGAAACTAAAATATCTAGTGCTGTATTTTGATAATATTGGTTAATGTGTATTATATATACATGTATATGAGATTTGAGAAAGATTCTCTTTTTTTGTTTGTTAGTTGATATTATAATTAGTTGATCAGGTTTTTTTTAATTTGATTTTGTAAAATATATAATTTGATATTGTATACTGCCTTCAAATAAATAATTATTTAAATAAATAAAAATTATTGTGCTTTATTCATCTTCACTTCACAAAACGTTAGTTTTATACTGCAATAGCCACCTTTCATGTATTACACAATGTAAAGATTTGATTACCTGCATTTACAATCTTCAATGATTAAAAAGTGGTGGATATTGCTGTCAAAGTAAGACATTGCTTGTATGTGTATTTACACACAGCCCATGTTTCTTCACAGAAAAAAACTTTTATATTGTCGAAAAAGAGAGGACTTATCTGATGTCTAATTCATCTATTAAAATTGGATTAAAACTCTGGCCTTAAAGATGCTTCTAAAATCCAAACATTCCCCAGGAACTGCTTGCAAAAACTGGATCATGTGAACAATCTAATCAGGGTACCTGACTAAGGTATAGAAACTACTTAGAATTTACTTTGTTTTAGTTCTTGATTAAGGATAAATCCTGCTCAGTGTAGTACAATAGAGATTAGAACTCTCAAATAAGAACCATTGTTTCTAGTTCTTGATTAAGGATGATTTCTAGTCAGTGAGAAGGGTTCTAGATAAGGTGTTTGATTTGTATATTATTGAGAAGTGTCTGTACACTTGTATTACAAAGAAAGCAACACCATTCAACAAACCTTCCACATGCCCTTTGAGATCGGATCTTGGTGTAAGCTGTAATCAGGGGTTTAAGAGAAACCAACCAAATGTAACTACCGTTATGTCGCTCATTAATGAATGCAGAGGCTAATGTATTTGAATGACAATGATTCTCATTCACATCAATGCATGGTTTAGAAAGCTAATAATACCAATATAAAATCTAATTTCTATGAAGTAAAAAAATATATACTTTATATGATAAAATATATTATGATATAGTGTTTTTTTAAATGAATATTTACACTCCCCTCCCTTACCTATCCCCATCAATTTCATTTTCTTTTTCATTCATATTTTAGAACTTAAAACTTAAAAGTCATTAGTACAAAGTTACAATCTTTACACTCCATATACCCCCACCATAATCTATTGAATAGCTCAGTCGGTAGCGAGTTGGATTGATAGGTGATTATTTGCCGTGGGTTCGAGGTAAGAACAATTCTGATTCCTTTACCAGTGATTCCGAGAGTCTGCCTGGTGGCGGCTCTCACCCCCTTATACTAGGCTTCACTCTTTTAACCAACCTTGCCCAGGGAAAGCCTTTCAAACTAAACCTCTAAATATCCATCGGTGCGGGCCACACACACACACCCTCACACCCTTGCAAGGTTTAAATCCTATTCGTCGACATACCCACCCATCAAGTTTTAACCCCATATTCCCTATTTTCAACCTATCATCAATGTTTTTAGATCAGTAACAGTGCATAAATAATGGGTATTCCAATAACTACGATTAACATTGTGGTACAGAAACCATATTTCAAATAACCCATAAACGTCAGGGGTTCGTCCAAAGTCTCTTTCGCTTTCTGGGCCACCAAAAGATTGGCTACACTGCCGAATAAGGTGAGATTTCCAGCGATGGTGGAGCACCATCCTAAATAGAGCACCAGAGCAAACTGATTGGTACAAGGTTCCAACTGATCCAAGACAATTATCGTCAAAGGAACGTTGCTGAAGATGTTGGAACAGAAGATGACAAAGACGCATAAGATGACAATCGTTCCAGTGTCGTTCATATCGGCGTTGGCCAGCCCCATCTGCTTCCAGATCCATCGAGGGATTCTGGTGGTATTGATCCCGTGTAACCAGACAAAAATACCAAAAAACATCATGATTACTCCCCAATCTACACGGCCCATGATTACCGAAGCGTTACGTTTATTCATAGCAGCATCCACTACCAGACAGATCGTTGCTCCTGCCATTGGTATTAATCCTGGAATAACAAAATTAATGTACACAATTTTACGCGGAAATCCGATTGGTTTCAAAATTTGAATGGAACACTATTACAGAATAAATCAGGTCGATATAAAAAAAAAAGAGTTGATCGATACTAAATTGAATTGGCTTATAGGATTGTGTTTAATTTCAAAGTATGGAATCTGGTTGATGTCAAAGTTGGATAAGTTGTCGATATTAAAATCAGAAATTAGGTCAATATCAAAGTTGGAAATTAAGTCAATATCGAAGTTGGAAACGGTTCGATATCAAAGTTGGAAAAGTGGTCGATATCAAAGTTGGAAAAGTGGTCGGTTTCAAAGATTCAATCTTTCGTTTGTTAGAAGGGATTATCAACAAAAATTTCAGCGACCAGATATTCAGAGTATTCTCTTGTTTCTTTTTCGATTATTTTTGGAATAAAACGGATCAATAAAGTTTATCGTATCATTCTAAACTTAGATTATACGCCCGTACTCACAAAGATAAATAACCATTTTCATAACCTTTCAGAGTTGAATCTCTTAAATTTAAAAAAAAACTTGGATATGTGACAAAAATGAAATAAAATTTTACATCCTACTATTTCCTCTTAATGGGCTTAACGATGATGTGTAACACAATGCAGTGTGCAGTAAGGGCACTCTACAGATAAATTAAATTGAGGTTGTAATGGAGTTCTATCAGCTGAAACAGTAAATATTCATATGGCTATACAGGTAGCTGAAAATTAGCTCTATGAATAAAATGAAGTTCATAGAATACTGCCATCTTTGTGCTTATCTTAACGGTTAATGAGAATACCGAATAAAATACCAGCACGGTTTAACATAATATATCAAAACATGTCTTTTGTCAAGATTAAACTTCTTTCATTATTCATTACTGATGAAAGCTATTACTATACACCTACTCTTGCAAGTTCATCCTATTGTGGAGTAGAACGTCTTCATTAGCCATGACTATTATACGAAACAAGATACTCACCAATGTCAAAAGAGACGTCGCCAACTTTGATGAACATCAGTGTGATCACGAGGACAATGACGATGATCAGGATGATTTTAAACGGACGGGAATGACTCTGACTGTAAGAATAGGCCGGATTCTCCATCTCCTGCTCGATTTGAATCTTCTTCTCTCTTCGTCGTTTGTCTTGAATCTGTAGAGCAACATCGCCTTCTACAGGAAACTCTAGTTCCTTGTTTGTCTTGTCCAATTTAGAGTTCTTTGTGTAAGTGTCCTTATTGATTGGTTCGATCATTTTAGCGTCTTCATCGTCGACATCTCGAGAGACCTCAATATAGTTCAAATCCAACTGGACGTTCTTTTTAGCCTTTTTCGGTTTCACACCAGAAGCACCATATTTTTTTACCTTCAGACGATCTCGAACACGGTAGTGAAGAATCAAAAATCCCCAATTAATGAAAAAAGCGATGATTGCCGGGATTCCAAGGTAAATCAATGAACGGACAAGTGTCAACGTGGACTCTCGATAAAGTGGATTATCTGTTCTTGACGCTATCAGAGCCATCTGTGGATTGCCAAATATGGTTGTGACGCTACCGATGTTAGATGACGTTGCGATGGCCAACAGTAATGTCTGCAATTCAGCTTGTCTGCGATTCTGTTTGGTCCAGTAATTCAAAAAGATGGGTGTCAAAACGACACAAGCTGCATCGTTGGTGAACAAAGCTGAGAAAATGAAGGTTACGAGATTCACTCTCCAAACATAATTCGTGAACGAATGATCCTCTTTCAGTAACAACTTTAGAATCTTTCCAATCATTTTCTCTCTTTCAAAAAACTGGGACAAGATCATCATACCCAGCAGAAGAAAAATTGTCCGCAAATTTTCCGTTTCTCCGAGCAAGTGGTACACACCTTTCTGCGAAAGGACATTGGAGATAACCATCAAACACGCTCCGGTAAGGACAGCAGTCGTCGTTCCAATTGGAAACTTCCGAATTTGGAAAAGTACGAATGGAAGGATCAGCAAGAAGGAAAGACTTCCGCATACTACTTTCGTTGTATCCGCAAGAGTATAATCCAGCTCTATCCCAGGCACAGACCCGTTCCCAGACTGTGCGCACACGTCTCCTTCCAGATGTTTGCTTCCAAACGTTATTGGATTGTCTACCTCATGCTGATAGGTCTGGTTAATCTCTGCTACTAACTGAGCCGCCATGTTAACTAAATGTTACGGGAACCTAAAAAAGAAAAAATATTTCAGCATACATGGATAGTAATTGCTGAAACTGGCTAAAACTAAGCCTACGATTTGAATGGGCAACTATATAACACACTAGTATTGATCTATCAAGATTATCCGTATCCGTATTCGTGGATCGACTAACATATTGAAAAGAAAGAAATATTCTGAATAACCAATGGATCTCGACCAAAATTCTTGGTATTGATCGTTTATGGAATATCAAAATACATTTACAACTTTATTGACAAAGACTTGCAAAATAAGAACAAAATAAAAACTACAATCGTTTCGTTCATATCACACAGCCTTTGATGTAGTTTAGGTTTTAAGGTAACAGGGATTTGATTCAGACTTCTGTTTAGTTTTTTATTAATTTATTATATTCAAGAGGTTAAATACTACTCGTAATTTCTATCAAGTGACAAGATAAGACATTTAATGGTCCTAAATTATTTATGGGTCCCTTTTCGTCCATTACAAATTATATTTCTTTTGATTTAAATAAACTTATTTCTAAACGATTGTTTCCAAGCACAGGCTGCATGTATCAAACCCTTTACAGGTATTCTTTATGATAAGCTTAAGTTATACATGTATTAAAAACGAACCACACGTCGTATTTGCATCTAAAAAAAATGTTACAGATATCCGAAATAGTATACATTTAGACGATGGTATCCCTTTAAGCATCTAAGAGTTAGAACAAGAGTCATGCCAAACTAAACAACATGTAAATATATATGCTATTAAGCTATGTGGACTTTCTAAAAAGTAAAGCATATGTAATGACATATTTTGTTCAATATTTTAAAAGTATTTTCACTATTCAAGAAGTTTTTATGCCAAGATATAGAGCCCTTGGATCTATATGACTAAGAGACGTGACTCGGCGTATATTAAAATGGATTGAAGATAAAGCATTTTTTAGGCTACCGGATTTTGAGTCAATTGTCGACAAACAACTCGCCGATGTTTTTACTTAAGTTTTAGATACAAAATTCTCATCAAGAGCCAAATTTCGAATTGGAGTTTGAAATAATTTAAGGAGTATGTGTTATATGATCAAAGTATAAGCAATGGATTCATTAAAAAGTGTTCAAAGTGACGTCCGCTTTCGATATTTCCGAATTTCTATGACGTCCGCGTTATATTTGAAGAACGACATCAAATAAACGAAAATTACATACGTTAATAGCTTACATTATCTTCAATATTTTTGAATATTTATTGAATTCATGGTGTGTTTTTGCCTATGCTTGTTCTCTGTTTTATGAACATGGAAGCAAACGAAAACTAACAAAATAACAAAATTGATCGGCCACCTTTCTATATATACAACGTATTTAAAGTTTTTCACCGTATGTCATTTTGTATTTCGCTGATATGACGTTTATGTGAATTTTAAAAACAAACCAGATACATGTAAGATAAACATGCTTGAATAAGATTAGCCTAGTTTACCGTTTTATCTCAAATACAATAACTTGAGTGTCTAAGTGAGTGGGTGTCAGTCTTTGAAAGGAAACATGTATTCACAGGGCACATAAGTTTGTTCGGTAACCCGAAAGGGGTTTTAAATCCAACATTGGTCGAAACAGAACGTTCTGATCTTAGTGAGGACTGGCATGTGATCATATGGACGACCGATGCCTCCTGATTGATTGAATGAACGATTGATTGATTGATAAAACGATATCTCGAAAAAAAATATTCTATTTTCATCGATCTGAATAAAATTTCCTCTTAAAATAGTATGGGGCTGTCTATCTTCAAACGCGGTGTAAGAAGTCGAAAAAGCAAAACGTAAAACTTCATGTCAGTCCATCTCCTTGCTGCCAAGTCCCACATTATTTGGGCTGAAAATAAAATGTCTTACCCTGAATATGAAATGAAACCAACGCGATCACCACAGCCTCTCCTCGGCTTCTGACCAAAACCTTCCCTTAACAATATCTTTATTTGAATATTTTAAGATTTTAATGTATTATCACATTAAGGAAGAATAACGCTGGCAACTCAGTTGTTTGTAGTTAACGTCTTGTTCACGATAGGCAGCCATTTTGAATTTTCGAAAAAAATTTGAACTTATCGAAGATATTTTTCAATCAAATACTTATTTTAATTAAAATATAGGACCGGTTCGTACTATTTGTGTGGAACCATTCGTCTATTACTGCATTGGTTGTTCAAGAAACCATCTGAAAATGAAAGAAAAATGGCCGCTGATTGTGGCCGAGATATCTACAATATTAAATTATCTTCTAAAATTTCAAATATTCATTATCCTATCACGTGACCATTAGTTATTATAAAGGAGTAATAATAATGTTTTTTATTCATCTCCTTAAATATTTATCAAGTTCATTATTAAAGGCCACATAACTAACATTTTTACAGAAACAAAATCAAAACTACCATTCAAATCAGTAGGGGAAAAGAAAATCCACATTATGTTGACAATAGTACAATAGTGAGACATCCTCTTTAATATTACTCAGGTGGTGTCTGGTTCAAACTGGGGGTAATTTTGAAATAGGGAAGGGGGG